AACCGCCTACCACCCACAAGCAAACGGGTTGGTAGAACGTTTTCACCGACAACCAAAAGCCTCAATATCAGCTGCAAACGTTTCACAGTGGACCGACGCTCTTCCACTCGTCTTACTAGGTATCCGCAATGCAGTGAAAGCTGACATTGGATACACTGCGGCTCGACTCGCTTATGGAACGACACTTCGACTTCCAGGAGAATTCGTGGATCCTTCATCCTCTTCAATGAACATGGATCTAACCTCCTACACGAACAGGCTTACAAACGCAATGCGTTCAGTTAAACCTGTTTTCACTCGACCTCAGTCAACCGATGTTTTCGTTCAACCTGACTTACGATATAGTACATACGTCTTCGTTCGTCGAGACTCACATCGACGACCTCTCGAATCAGCATACGAAGGACCCTTCAAAGTTCTTCAACGCGAACCTAAGTATTATATAGTCGACAAGAACGGAACAAACGATAGCATCAGCATCGATCGCCTCAAAGCAGCGTATTTAGAAGGAAATCCTATCTACGTCGATTTTTCTTCGGTACAATCGAACAACACGACTCCGACACTCATAATACCTAATCCGACAACGAACACGCACGATGATACTTCAAACACTGAATACCTGTCCCATCTTTAATATTACTGCCTAATGTTCGCGCAAGCGAAGAGGAACTCATAAGAATTGTAAAGGTGTAGACTAAAACTCAGACTCAATAAGTTTTAAGACAACAAGCTATACAATTGTATACTTTTCTAAACGTCAGACTAGTTTGCAAGGCCAGTGAGGAGAATTATTAGACATTAGAAACCGATCTCGTCTACGGTAGGATGAGAATTCACATGAATGAACCTTGGAAGTGTGAGTCATCTACTAGTGCCTTATAACAGAAATAAGGTACAAATAACCAAGAAGTGGAGTAAGCTAACACCTTTAAGGGAAACTTCAGTATCCAGGGGGTGGAAAGTCTGATGCGGAAGAAATTCTTACAACCTAATAATAAATCAATTAAAGTCTTCCACAAATTTTTCTGACAGCTCTTTCATGTTCTATACTAGAAACTACTCTTCCCATGTTACAATCTGATTACCGTTAACAAAAACCGACTGACCGATGAACTTAAAGTCTTTGGCTTCTGCAACCTTACTGTTTAGGGAGAAATGGGCTCATCTAGCTTTAAAGTATGCCAACCAACAGATAACTTGAGCTTCGTTAGTGCTCTTGCTAGACTAACCTCGCTGTACTCCGTGAGTGACTTGGGAACTGCTGTATCAAAACGAGAAGTGAATAAAAAATAAAATAGTTTATAATAGTTCAACACATAGACATCAAATAGTATCGTTCTAAAGACATTGGATATAGTATAATCGTTGATGTTTTTGTACAGTTGCGCTACAAATCAAGTTGTCTCTAAGGTCAGTGGAATAACTGCACAAATCCAAATAAGTGTGTTTCCGTATCATATCATGCTCCTCGACTATAGAATTATTTTTATCGGTTCATATACAAGAGTGAATTGATATGTCGAATTCTCATAACTTTGCTCGAATTCGAACTTCTTGCTGGTAATATAACCGAAGGTACTTAACATAATATCCATTCCTAACCATATCATAAGCGGGGGTCAATCATGTATTGTATACTGTTTTTGTACCCATTTCCTTAACGTTGCTAGGTCAACCCTCTTTCAAACTTTATTTCATTGTTGCCGTCATCAAGCCTCTGTATAAATTTGAAGAGTATCACTTATGGTTCATCTACTTTTGTCCTTGAATACGTTTCTGAACTCAGTATCATATTGTGAAGCCCAAAGTTCATTTCCCTTAATCCCATGTACTCATAATGCCAGATTAATAAAGCTAAGTACCTTTTATCATACTCTGAATCATTTCAATAATTGGACGCGCTATGAGTCTTTAGGGTTCATGTGCAAATCAGATTAATCCGATGAAGGTTTATTTAGGGGTAATGGTTGTTGCCTAAGAAAATCCTTTTATTGTTATGAATGAGCATCCTCATGTTTTTTTATTCTTTTTTGTCAACTACTGGCCCTAGTTAAGTAGACTGCGGCTATCACCGTAAAACCTATGACGCAGTTAATTGACAGTTAATTCCGTCATCTATAACCTTAACAAATGTAGTAGCTACTACCAGTTTATAAGCTTAAGCTTGTAAACTTCATCATCTCATTTAGACTGATAAAACTATAGGAGTTTATCAGAATTAAGCAAATAGGACGTTGGTTGTGTATACGCAGGCTATGTACGCAATAATGATGAGTAGGTGTGAATAACGACAAGCAGGAGCAATCGATTGGTCTTAAAGGTTAGATGCTTATGATGTCTAAGGGTTATTATCAAAGTTATTCGAAAAACAGATAGTTGACCTCTATAAGTTGTTCACTAATGGTTATGCGATATCACTGGTTTCTAAAGCATTCTCTGTTGATTTTCATGCAGTTTTCATTCAAGTTTATTGTCATACTTTATTTTCAGTTCTAACCCGTTATGTGGTGGCAGTTTTACATTAATAAAAATGCTGACGTTTTAGATGAAATACGGGTCGTATGTAGTTTTTTTTCCAAAGTGGTCCTGATTTCTAATCACATAAATGTACAATGAAAGTCCAAGGTTTTGTTACTGAACGCAGATTTCATTCACTGGGTTGCTTCTTCGAAGTCTAATATACATATTTCACTACAAAAAAATGTCTAATATCGTTATCTCCCACACAGAAATGTTGTGGCTCAAAGCCAATAACATATAGCTGTACCGCTATAATAAATAGTATAAATTTCTCTGGTGAAATTTCCGTTCACATCTGCAGTGTTTTAAATATCCACTTCCCTTAATGTACCCAGTGTACAACATAGAAAACCATTAAATATGTTAAACAATAATTCGTAAATTCTGCTATCTGTATTAGCCACTAATAAAGTGATACTAAGTGGATAGTAAGCTATTGTGTAATCAAAATTGTTCCATTAAGACCACTGATAGATGTATGTGCAACTTAGTCGCGTATTCTGATTGAAATAAAACTGTACCTCAGAGAACCACAAGAAGACTACACCACTACGTTCATAAATCCTCAGCTAGTTTTCTGAAATATACAAAAAATATTGTTCACTAAATTAGGGTTACTGTTCCAATATATATGTTTATAAAGGCAATGGATGACAACTTAAAACCACCAGTGCCCTTTTATATATCTCATAGCCTATTTTCCTTTTTATGCACTTTCTTGCTAAGAAAATGAACGACTTAAATCAGTTAACACTGATGACTGTAGTCATCTTTTTATGTACTGTTCTAATCGGAAGCACTTCATAGTCTTTAGTGTTTTGTTTTGACTTGTGCTCTTTTATCATTCGCAATAATTTAGGCAAGCTAGTAATCTCAAACGTTTCCACCCACACAAACTACATCGTAACTTGAAGTAAAGCGGTTTATTTTTTAAAAATTTATTTTAACACATAGATATTGGTACAAGGAGGCACCAAATACATATGTGCCACACAAATCTCATTCAATATGTGTGAGGGCTGTGATACTGCCCGGGTGCCCAAACCGAAGCAGGTGATTTTCTTAGGGGGTCACTCCCCGAGCCTTCGACCTGAAGGTCTGTGTAAAATGTGATCGGTAGACGAACTCACCAATAATAAAGGGAAACGCCCACCACCACATTAACTCCCTTTGACCTTGTACTACTGTATCTCTTTATTAACCAATCACAATTTGATGTTCATTGTAAAACAATATTTGCTTGTTGACTCATTTTTCCTATTCTCTGGCTACTGTTCGGTATGTTATTTGTCTGTTTTTTCTCTGTATTAATAGACCGTACAGTTTGTTTGTACACTAACGATGTTAATTTATGTTTTAGAAACAGATAAAGTTTATCTAGCCAAATAGCTTGCTTGTCCTGACTTTGGCCAAACCAAGACTTTATTCGACGGTCTAGAGAATAGCTCAGAATTAAACCTGTAGGAAATTGCTCCCTACAGTCTGATCCACAAGGCAGTGGAGCATCGTAAGGGGATGCAGTCCCATGGAAACCGATGACCAACAATTGGTTCATGCGCCATTTGTCCCCGCAGGATACTGGAGCCCACGTGCACCATTGGTTTGGAATCCGGTTAAAGCGCCGGATATTCGCTTTTCGTCCTCTCATTTTCGTAAACAACACTCCCGCCACGAGAAGGCAGTGAGTAGGACTTCCCTGGCAGAGGCTATATACGCGTAGCCATGTGAGAGCATTTGGAGAGGGAGAGCGGACTCTCCCCACTCTCGGCCGTACCAGGGCATTTGGGGGCAAAGTAAAGCGGTACTACAGTCGACAAATAATTCGTAGCAGTTTTATGTAGAGCTAAATAATTAATAGTGAATTCTCAACCGTGCTTTTATTGTTCGTAATTGGTCACATAGCAAAACACTTATGTCCAATGGCATCTTCACGTTGTCCATCTGATACTGTAAGTGTCCACATTTCTATCCGAGAAAGGTCAGCTACCTTAGTAATTATCAGTATACGGTTGTGTAGATTGTTGACTTTCAATTGAGATCATGAACCTATCAATGTCAAACCACCATTGAAAAACTGGAGGCATTGGACGGCCGTTTTGTCCTAGTATAAGACGTGGATTGGTTAGTTAGACACTAACATCGTTAGGTGCCGGCCCAATGGTTTAAAGTTTAAGCGTTAACGCGAGATCGAAGATCCTGAATTCGAGACCGCCTGTTGGACTTGGGGTTCGCGTTGCTGAGGGGTCCTACACTAGGACGAAACAGCGGTCCAGCACTCTCAGGTTTTCAATGGTGGTCTAACATTCGTCGGTTCGTGATCTCAATTAAAAATACCTTAATAATGACGATTTTGCAAGTCGAAAATTTTAAGTAGTATAGTGATAAAGAGTAGTTTGTTTATAATTTTTTCTAAAGTTTTATTGTGACCATTACCATAAAAAATATTTAATTTCAAAGACTTTCAAGATAACCAACAAATGGAAGTGGATATTAATGTTGATGTCAGCAATGTGACCTCTGGAACAGGCTCTGCATCAGTGCTCTTACATCCACTTGTTATTTTAAATATATCTGAACATTGGACGCGTAACAAAGTGAAGGAAAACTCTATAGCTGTTACAGTGTATGGAGCTTTGCTCGGGAAACAAGAAGGTCACCATGTTGAAGTATGTATATTTATCTAATCCATATTATCGCTCATCTGACAGATATCAAATTCCTTCGAGTTATTACTTGATGAACCACACATGTCAGTTAACTCTGAGTTTTACAGCACTCGTGAATCTCAATGCAAACAAGTTTATCCAGATTTAGACATAGTTGGTTGGTATACCACTGGTGGTGCTATCAATGAAAAAGATGAGTTATTCAACAGACAGGTACAATCTGATATCATCTGTTGATGCATATTTTTAGATGCTAGAACTTAATGAATCTCTCCTCATATTAAAATTAGACCCTCTACAAACATGTGGAGAGAACCTGCCAATCGGGGTTTATGAGTCAGTAGTGGATAACGATGGGAGAGTTCACTTTAGACAGGTACCCGTTGTTTTTATTTTGTTTATGTTTGGTAAACTTAATTTGCTTTAACTTTGTGGTGTCATTCTATTAGTAGAAGTAACGATAAAACACACCCACTTAGTTTTCCTTTTGTATAACGTTAAGCTATTTTGATGTATCCCATAATGGATATATTTTTCGGATAATAGTGGTTTAGATATGGGGTGACTTTACAGTTCAAATGGTTCAACTTTTAGACCACTCTATTATTCAGGTGGCCTTTTATGAATGTCATAGATTAAGAGAACCCAGTTCATAACTTTAATTATTGAGCTTTGTTTAATCGAATAAATAACAAAATCGTTTCGCAGATGTGATTACACTTTATAATTTACAAAACAGAATAAGGATAACCCGTTAAATTACGTTTCCATTTAGCACCAATGAATTTCTGCTTAATCATAACAAATCACTTATCTTGCGCCTTACTTCTTAATTGATCACTCTGTTTTTTTCACTATACTCAAGAAATGTTTCAAAAACGTTTATGGTCAAATGCTTACGGCCTGCGTATCTCTTCTACTCTCGTAAACCATCTTTCGTATCCGTAAAGTAGAAAATAGCAAACTTCTGAGGAGTTTACCCACCCTCAAATAGCTAAACGATCTCATCTACCACACAGGTTGCTAAATCCCTAATAGGCTTACTGAAGCTGTATTTAGATTTAATCACTCATCACCCAACCAGGACTGATGAAACGTTCTATATAAATTAACTAGCCAACAAGTAGAATAGCTCGTACTTGGATCACTTTTTACATTCCATACTTCAGTTTTTCTGTTAGTTATTCTTTATGTTTGTCCCAGCTACTCCGTTTGAAGCATCAGCTCATTTTTATTTCTTAAAAATACTCTGTGCAAACAGATTCTAGAGAGGTATTATTAATATTTACATATACATCATATACGATATGACACCATACTTAGTCACTCGTGTTGATAAATACACTTAATTTCCAGTTCCCTACTAGTACTTTTACTGCTTAAGTTTTGATGATGATTACATATCCGAAAGCCAACCATTGGGTATCTCTTATTTCAGGTACTATATACTTTAGCAACTGATGAAGCAGAACGTATTGGTATCGATTATGTTGCACGTATTTCAATGTCATCTACTGATCAAACTTCATCAATGGTAAATCCCTTCTATTTCTTTATAATGTAATGATTTATCAATCTCTAATCACTTATATCACCTAAAACACACACAAACATTAATGTACTAAAACAAATGTTATCTAAATTTCAGCAGTTCAAAAATCCCCATAGGATATCCACAAATGTAGAATATTTAAGCGGACAATTTTTCAATAAATTCATCATCAGGTTCTAAAGTTATAAACATAAAGTAGATATTCATAGTACATTTCAACAGAAGTTTTCTCAAATAAATCAATACTTACACAACAAATCAAGGATAGGTTACCGATGATGAGCTCCTTCATGTGTGTACGCCAATTCAACTGCTCCAGTGGAGCTAGTTACATAGGCCGTAATCAGAGGGATTTATTCTTGCATGTTCGTGAAAATGTACCAGCATGGTTGAGAAAAGGAGTTACTAAATCAATCAACAGTACTGTTCTTTCTCACTCGGTAGATAGTAAACATCATATCAAAGTAGGAGAAGCTTTCTCTGTTTTATATAAAGTTTTAAAAAATCTACCTCAAAGAGCTAGATTACGGCTACTCTACATAGCCGAAGCCATCTGGATCAACTCCAGAAAACCGAACTTATGTATCCAGAAAAGGTATATCCAGCCTCTATGTTTACCTTGACCTACGACTGGATCACCGGATACCTAAACTAAATATTATAAACCTCTTACCAGCTTCTCATTTTTTTTATTATATCTATCTTAATCTTCATATCCATCTTTCTCAATTCACATGGACCCTTCTTTATCGTAATCACCTTGATAACGTCCCTCTTATTACTTATTATATTCACAATTAATTGATCACTGGGTGGTGATCAATGTCATGCGTGTCTAGTCCTTATTACTTATTATATTCACACAACGATATCATTATTATTACGATTGCTATTATCATTATTACCTCAACTAACAAGATGAAATTCCCATACTATTCATTTTATTCACATTATTTTTTTCATTTTCACGTTTGCTATATTGCTATTATACTGACTGGGACTTCATACTACTCTAAATCATTCTGACCATTATATATATATATATATATATATATATATATAATTTCCGAAACAATTTATGGTATAAGTTCAGAGGGCGTTGTTGCTGTGAAAGTTTTGTGTACTCTTGTTGAGAACCTCTAGATCGTTTGGATCCTTAAGTTTTTGTTAACTGGCATTCGGAATTTCATTTAGACACTTATATCCAATGGTTTTATTGAACTTATTTAAAGGATCTTTTGTCAGAACACTGACTAATCTCTATGTTTTAATGTGGTGCCTTCTAGCTCGAGATGTGTAGTCATAAAATTTTGGTTCAATGACTTTGTTTAAACATTTTTTCATCGATTACTAGTGTATGTCTCTGTATTTTTATTGTAGACTGCGGAACATTTACTAGGAAATTATCAGGCCATTCAAATGTTAAGCAGTCGCCTTCAGCTAATAAGATCTTATGTCGCAGCTGTTGCAGCAGGAGAATTACCACCGAATAGAGCACGACTGAGGGAGATCAATGCTTTAGTTAAACGAATCCCTTTCATGCCTCCTTCAGCAGCCGAACAAAATGACAATTTGTACCGTCAAGCCAATGATGTATGTCTGACAGCATTGCTTGCCAGCATAACTCAAGGTTTACATACACTCTACGGTTGTATGATCAAAACATCTCACGTTATAGATCGCCGATCTATTCCCTTGAGTGTGGGAAGTGGAATTATGGACTCAGGTTCCAGCCGTTTTGCTAAAGTTTCCCACTCAATGGGTAATTCTAATTGAGAAGGCAAAATGTGTATTTTGTGAATAGAGTCAGCTTACGTTATATAAACCGAGAATAGATTTCTGTAGTTGTACATATCGACGTCACAATTTTCTTCGATTCACAATACTGAAGAACCATTTGGATAAAATCATATATTTGATTGTACGTTGGCTTGTATATAATCATATACTATACTGTGGTAACTTGGACAATTCTATGGCCTTTTTGTTTTTGATTCTGATACATAATCTTTGTCACAGCAGAAATTCATCGTCAATTCACTATTTTACCAATAAATAAAGATGATGAAAACCATAAAATGTAAATATAGCTAGAATTTAATTCCATGTCCTAGTGGCTGAAAGTTAAGGGCTAATAATAGTCTCCAAATATCAGAGTTGGGCCATCTATTCGCATATTAGTTTGTTGTTATTTCTATTAATAGTTTGAGCTGGCTTCTCACTTATTTTCAAAAAGACTGAGTAATACTATGCTCATCATAGTGTTAACCATGAAATGAATCTTTTCACTTAGATTCAAAATTCATTTCTGTAACAAACAACTTTCTTAAAGTGTTTAATTCTCACTAATGGATAAACTAAGTAATCAACAAATATAAATAATTTCAATGGTTGAGATCATGAGTCAATTGAAGATAGACCACCATGGAAATCCTGGAAGCACTGGATGGCCGTTTCGTCCTAGTGTGGGACTCCTCAGAAGTGCGCGAAACGGCCGTCCAGTGCTTCTAGGTTTTCCATGGTGGTCTAGCTTCAATTGACTAATGATCTCAACCATTGAAATTACTATAATGTCCACAAAACCTTTCAAATATAAATAGCTTATATATAACACTGATATTAAATGCTATTAGTTCATTTTTACTTTAGGTGTGCCCAAGATAACTATCGTTTCACATTCTGAAATATATAGCACATTCCAGGATCTTGGATTATCTAGAAAAACCTGTCTATTGAAAATTATCATCTGTTACGACTGTTATTTGTAAATTTCTCATCATAAAATATAGTGATATATACTAGTAATCTTCATGGGTACTTATTACCGAAAAGTAAACTCTAGGTGAATACATTGCCAAATATCTCATTATCTTGGAAAAGTTTTTTCCTCGTATGTAGTCACAGTAGTTGATTTAAAGAGAATCCACAAAAGTAATGTATTCACCTGCCACCCCTTTCGAAGTCAACAGATACAGTTTCTTATATTTCATAGACAAGAAACTTACTAGATGATTACCAGGCTTTAAATTTCCGGATCCTAGTGTCTCCTGAACGTTACATGAACATTCCACATTTTGTGTAGATTTTTAGATGAACACATCAAGAAAATGTTATGTTCTCCGACTTCTCTGTCCAAAATCCACGGATAGAAACAAACAATTCATTTAACCTTCATATGAGTACCAAATGGTGGAAGAGTTATAGAAGTACGTCTGACCATGTTTATGAACACCGTAATCTCCTTTTGTAGTCTCACTGTCCCTCGCTACCCACTTTTTTCAGCTCTTATGTTTAATGGTATGTCCAAAGTCAAAGGCACCAATAATAAGCTAATAACTGTTGTGTTGCCGTAGTTTCTGGAACCCACCTTTCCTCTATGGTTGTTTCACCATTTTGTGTACATAATTCCACACTAATACATAATGATACCTGAGAACTCTTAGTTCGAAATCGGTGTTTTACGTGTGACCATTTATGAGTCACTTGGATTTTTATCGTGTACCTTCATAACTTGTTACCTAACTGTATGAAAACCCATACCCTCGCACTGCGTTTATCGTTTCTAACAGGTTTACACATAATTGGTTTTATCTTTATGAAATTCAGCTTGCAAAACCGTTTTACACAAATCACTCATTTAACTGCAGATCCGACCTGTAATGAATCATGACCCACATTGATGCGACTTACTGTCATCAATAGATTTTCCTTAACAATAGTTATTCGTAGTGTCGGGCAAGCAGTCTAACATGTAACCTCACGAAAAGTGGACGCTCTCTATTGGGTCGTTAGTGGTGAGTGAGATGTCTGTCTGTATAGGCTTTGCGATTGGGTTTAATAGAACTACAAAGTAGAAGAACGTCTCTAGAAGCCGAGTCTATCATTTGATCATAAAATTGACCTGCTATTTCAAGTCAAGATAAATTTATTAATCAGTATCAAACTGTACCACACAAGATCGAATCGATTCGTAATATTTTGATTTGTAGTTAAAAATGGATAAACTTTTCTTCGTATAATGCCAACCCTTAACCTGAGAACTTAATGACTTGATATTTTTAATTTCTAACAACGGATTTTACACAATTTCCTCGGCGACAATTTCACGACCAAAAACAATAATTTAGCTTCTGTATATCACTGTAATTTGGTGCCGGATAAAAATATTTAATTGAATTAGAGTTTGTTTAAAAGTTGGTTCATGGTATCAATAAAAACAAAAATCACAAAAGTTTTGAAAACAAATATATAATATTTCTACAATTCTGTGTTTATTTATAGACTAATAACTGTTAGTTAGATCCAGAGATAGGAATTATCGACCCTCCCCAACCTTTTTAAACTCCCTGTTTCGGAAAATAGTTAAAAGAGCGATATCCAATTATTGGTTCACAAATTCTGACTAGAATTTCTAAGTTATGGCATTACAGTTATTAAATCAATTTGAAAATTATGATCTATCAACTCTGATACCAAGAAAGAAAAATCAATTTATACATCCTTCGTTAGGTGATAAGAGACTTTGTTGAAGCGTCAAATATTCTACTTCGCTTACCGTTAAAACATTTAGTAATCTGTTACAGAGAATCGAAGTTGTTTTAAGCGTTGATATTGATTGGACTCATAACCTTCCTAATACATCTTCAAATTACGTTCTAGCTGTTTTAAAAACCGTAATCTTCAATGTAAAGACTTGACTTAAATATTACTTACTTAGGACATTTCAGTGTAAACAGTAAATAGTATAAACCATAATAATTCTGACCGTCCTTATCGATTGGTCTGAATCAGTTACACTGAAATCTAAACGACTTTGTGAGTTCATGTTACAAATTGAACGAGGAGAGTATTCAAGACAGTGCACTTTAATTACAATACGATTTAGTATTGGAAAGTTGGGAAACACTGCCTTCCTTTTCCTATTTTCACTTCTACTCGATTTTCAGTCAGTAACAATGTAGAACTTCGTACGTACGTACATCAGTTCGAGTTGCCACATCACATTAGCACAGAGATGCAGTTGTCGATTTAAATCCCGTAGTGGAAGAGGTAATAAGAGTATAAGCAGTAATCGGGAAGATTAGGGTTTGGAGATGTTATTCAAGGAGTATAATCCAGTGAAATAAATTTGGAAAGAGGGACATGAAGAATTCAGAAGATTAGAATTTGAGAGAACACAGAGAGTGGATGCACCTGCGCCATTGCAAACGATTTTGAACCATGTCATTCAGGGTCTCTAACCATCGGTTGCTATCATCTCGCGGTCCACAACCAGGTAGTCTACACCTACCAACATGGCTCAGTTCACTTGTCAGTGACTTCATGGACTTGTGCCACGTTTTGGTTTGGCCGCCCCTAGCTTTCTTCCAACCTACTCCTATACCACTGAACATAGCAGGTCGAGGCAGTCGGTCGTTGGGCATACGTAACACGTGTCCCAGCCATCTCAACTGATGAAGTTTCACTACTTCATCAATTGATTTGCCATCCTTACCTAGTACCCGTGTCCTAACAACTGTGTTACTTACTCGATGGTCCCATGATATACGAGCAATGTTTCGAAGACACCTATAATCAAATACTAGTAGCCTACGGATATCCTCTACTCTTACCGGCCATGTTTCACTGCCATAAAGTAGGACGGAACGAACTGCTGCGCAGTAAACATGTCCTTTAGTTGATAGACGGATATCTCGCCTACGCCATAAATGAGGCAAGTTGGCAAAAGCTAGTCGAGTCTTTAGTATCCGTGTTGAAATTTGGTCACACACAAAGCCTGACGGGACTCCCAGGATAAGTGAAGCGGTCGACATACTCAACTACCTCACTCCCTATCATTAGTTCGGGTGTCCATGCAAACCAATCCTGAATCAACATTTTGCATTTCGAGGAAGAGAATCGCATCCCGAACATGCTTGCATTGTTGCTTAGAGTGGTCAGAAGACTCTGCATTTTGTTAGTGTCTTCAAATAGAACTATGCCATCGGCATATTCTAGGTCAGAAGTTGAATGTCCCGGTAGAAGTTCAACCCCTGGAAATTTAGATGAGGAAAGTGTAATCTTTAAAAGCACGTCAACGACAAAGTTAAACAAGAATGGAGAGAGTGGACAGCGCTGACGAACATCACTTGAGGTAATCAATTCTGATACAGGTCTCCATAAGTTCTCACTCAAACATTTGTGTTCGAGTAGATAGCCTTTATAAGGTTAATTTACTTCTTTGGTACTCCTTTCAGTTACAAACACTGCCATAGAACCTCATGATCAACAGAGTCGAATGCCACCTTAAGATTGAGAAATACTATTATTGTGGGATGTCTGAATGTGTATCTATGTTCTAGGATCTGACGTAATGTGTATATCTCGTCTTTACAGCCACGTCCAGATCTGGGACCAGTCTGGTTTTCTCTAATCTGCTCTTCACGAGCTTTGATTAGGCGTCGAAGTATTATTGAAGCTAATATTTTAGACACTATATTAGTCAAACTGATTCCTCTGTGATTGTCACAAGAGGACTTTTGTCCTTTCTTAAAAACTGGTACAATCAGTGATTGAGACCAGTCAGATGGGATTACATCCAGTTCCCAAATTCTACCTAAGGCCTCGGTTAATCGCATTGCTAATACTGGACCACTATCCTTAAAAATCTCAGGAGTAAACCTGTCAGGGCCTGCTGCTCTTCCTCGTTTCAGATTTCCTATGGCTTTTTCAATTTCGTAAAGGGACGAAGGACCTACATTAACTTGCCATTCAGGTTGATTGGAGATCGTGGGAAACCGAAGTGTGGCTGAAGGCCAGTTGGACTCATCCCTAAAGTGTTCTGGCCATCGATCCAATCTCCTGGATTGGGAATGAATAAGTTGTCCATCTTTTTCCAAGATAATTTCACTAACAGTTGGGTTCCTTATACCGGTTTCCTCAACAAGTCTGAACAATTGTCTTCTATTATTTATTGCCGTTTCCTTTTCCATCACTCTTGCTTTCGCTACACACCACTGCTCGTGGTCATTGCGTAGGCTTCTTATCATCTTGAGCTTAAGCTGACTTCGCACTTCGTCATGTTCAGAGCCAGATGGAATGAGTTTTCGAGTATCAATCAGTGAAGTTGGTGCCGCTGAGATCCAGTATTTCTCCCCAACCTTATGGTTTATCTGACTAGCAGTCATCACTGCTGTTTCCACGGCTTTTCGGATATCATTCCATGTTGCATCGGGGTGAGCATCACATGCATGGCTGCCTAACTGTTTTTCTAGTTGTCCCTGAAATGCATTCTTAGCTCGGCTATCATTAAGTAGAACCCTAAGGGATTTTCTTGCAGCGTCTTTCCTACGTCCAGTAAGACACAGACAAAGACGTGCTAACACTACAGCATGATCTGAACCTCAGCATGTGTTCCAGAATGAGTGACAGTCTTCTATCGAGCCCCTCCATCGGTAGCTGATAGCAATGTGATCTATTTGGGTCCAACGTTGGGACGAATAAGGGTGTCGCCATGTTAAAAGATGTTTTTGCCTTATACTTAAAGTTAGTATTTGCAAGAAACAAGCGGTTATGTGAGCACAGTTGCAACAGACCGTCGCCATTATCTGTTCTTTGAGCCAAGACACCATAAGATCCACACAGATGTCTCTCGTTTTCGCCTAGTTTTCCTATTTGAGCATTCAAGTCATTAGCCACTATTACTACGTCAGAACGCCTAACCTTTTGGAGAAGGTCAGAAGACTTTCTTTAAATTTCATATTTTACCTCATCTGAGCTGCAGTCAGTGGGAGAGTAGGCAGCGACGACAAGTGTCCCTGTCTTCCCGAGTCTTTACTGTTCCGTTTAGTCGGACAGCGCACAAGTGGTTGTCTACTGGGATCCAGTCTAAAAAAGCTAGTTCTTCCCTAGGACTTAATGCTATACCTACCTCGGCGAGGCCACGAGAAGCAACATCAGGGCTTCCAGATATACGAAGTGTGAATCGAGATGGTTCTTTATTTTGATATGGTGAGGTCAAATGAATGACGCTACTCGGATCCTGTATGCGCGTTTCGGAGACGCAGAACACATCGATGGCGCGAGATTCTAAAATCCTAGCTAAGGAAGCCTGTTGTCCTATTTGGCACAGCGTATGAATGTTAAAAGCTGCTACATGTAGTTTAGAGTTTGGCTTTCAGGAGACCGGAAATAACGTTCCGCGTACTCGAATCGTTTACATTAGCGGCGTGAGAAAGATAATTCGTGGAGATAAGAGGGTTATTAGGTGTAGGAAGAATTTGATTGTGACCGACATGGTCTCATGTGTTGTTATGGGTATGAGGGCTGATGTCACTTCCCGGCTGCCCACATCGTGGAAGGGTATTTCTTAAAGAACCTGAAAAGGATGTTGGATTAATTTTAGCCTTAACGACCTGGGAGAGTGACCGCAGAGCCCAAGGGACAACTACTTGAGGCCGGTCGCGCACGGTCGGGCTACTCGATTTTAGTCAGTCTTTTAAGTACTCATGTTTAGTTATTTTGTAAACTACTACTAGTCATACGGTTGATATGTATTGTGAATTTTTGGAAGTTAAAGTCCTGGGACAAATGGACTACTGTAAAAGTAGACGCCCCAGATCGTTGGCAAATATTTATTAATCCCGAAAGAATCATTTATTTAATTAGTTCAGAACCTACGTATAAGTTAAGTTACATTTTAGATAGTGAAATTTTGTCTTTATTCCGGTGTGGAAACTCACCACTACCAAAACCTAATTGTTTCAATAAACAGACATTTCCTATATTAGATATCAGACTGAAATAATCAAGTCCATATTCATATTTAAACATTATTAAATAAATTAACCCCTTGAATTACTGACTTAAAATTAAAAATAACTACGTATATAGTGTTTACATTTTCCAATTAATTAGGATCTCTATTCAATCCATTTTTGATTAGTAATACTCTCGCTCTGATCCGCAATTTTAATGCTTATATTTTTTTAGAGGATTATAATGGTCATCAAACTTACACCAATTAAGTTACATGTACTCCAAGTTATACACTTTTCTTGTCACCTTTCTCTTGGTCTTCTTCATCGTTATTCCTAGAAATAAAGTAAAAATCGTAAAAAAGCTTTTTATGACCATTATATTTACTCGTTGTCATCTTCGTGCTTTTCTTGGTCTCTGTCAGCAGTTTGTTTATTAAGTATAAGTTGATCGTCATATAAATGTCGATAGTCTCCAAGAATACCTATTCTTTTTGAAAAGTTTATGTATTACTGATAACATATTTACTTTTCATTTTCGTCATGTACATTAGTCTCAGTCATATGTAACCTTTAAAAATAAATATTATTGATCATCGGAAATGTTTATTTCTATGATTACCTTCTTTGCTTATCTTCACTTTTGTTCAGGTTAGTCTTAGCTATGTTTTCTTCCGCACCAGGTAATATAAGCCTTAGGGCTGGTGAGCACTTACTTTGAAAATGAAACTCCATAAGAATACAAAATTAGGGATCATACTTTAGCATTGATGCTCGGGGTAGTTGTGTCTGATATATCTTGATATTCTTACTATCGAGTTCGCCTTTTTGACCGAAATAGGAAGCTCCTTGTCGCCCAAGAGAATTGAACATTTCTGATCTTGTAAACCTAAAGGCAAAAGCAGTAAGGTATTTCAATTTGACAAAGACACTACCATTTTGCTCGATTTTTTACAATTATGTATGTATTTACATATACAAAAATTTTTGATAAGCGAATATGAACGATGAGATTGTTTGTTACAATCAATGCTGAACTTTATTTGTGATGGTGGAGAATATTTGTAACCCAAGTGGATGATTTTGACGAAGTTTTGTTCTCGAAACTGAATGGTTTGGATTTGGATTTGTTTCTCATTTAGTCTATTAGAGTTTAAATAAACGGAAATACTAAGTATAAATTATGGAGTTAGAATTCCTATGCATTCGATGGCTGATATATGGTACATCCTAGTGAAGATTAAATTATAGGTAACTTCTGAGAACCATTAATGAACCAATATTATATTTGTTCTTATTTTGTAACTATTCCGTAACTAAATTACGCATAACTATATTCCTCTTACTATAAGCTTTATTCTGACTTATAGACTATTAGGATACGATTTATTATTCTTACATTATTCTCAGTCTATCAATTACCATCACCCATAACCATAGCCACCTTTTGGCTTGATCTTGTACAAATGTTATTTCCTATTTCATAGTGTGATGTGGTCCGTTTGGCTCGGGTGTAAACCAGGTATGTTTGGAATAAATGATTCGCGTAGCGGAAGCTGGTATTGGTGTTCTGGACTCAACTGGGAGGGCTAATAGTACAAAGGACCAATAAAGATGCTAGGCTGCTCATACCGGTCGAACGTCATTGGTTTGACGCAGTGATAAGACTGTATAAGTCGTATTTTGATTGGCAAATAAATCACGTGATAATTAGCTGGGCTCAAAGATACAACAGTATATAGTGGTAAAGGTTAGCTTTCTTTTAGACCAAAATTTACTGTATGCTATCTGGACTGTGAATAACTAAGATTCTACTCGAGGTTATATAGTGATAGTACAATAATATAAAGAAACACTAACTCCATCAAGAAAGCTCATAAAGTTTATATGTGATACATATATCTAACTTAGTCAAATCGACATTCAAATTGTGATACCTCGAACTCAATATTATTCACAAGTTCATCAGATCGTTGCACGGTTTTCAGTGATACTTCATTTTATTAATCTATGTCTACGTATTGCGTTCAAAGTTCATTCGATCTACTTTATTTCGTATTGAAAACTTCGTACACTAATTTTTTTTAGTTTTGTTGTTAATGATTCCTTTGATTCATCATTAATTAGGACAGTTTTTAACATGTATTTAGTTTGTCCCATACTTCTTACACTCGTACTTTAATGGTTTATAATTAAAAATATTTGTATTAATTACGTACCATCCAATTTGAGCACAGATTTCTTTAAATCTTGTTCGTAGAAATGTTATCCACATACAAAATACAAAAAACCAAAAGAATGTTTCATATAAATTTTGATCTGTTTTTGCCGTTGCAACTGGATCAGTTGGTCTAGGGCATATATTATGCACTAGACTTCGTTCAAGTAGTAGAAATTTAGCGTACGCAAGTGAAAAATCATATTTTAATATATCTATTCGTTTATGTAATTCTTCTTGTTCCTTTAACTGGTTTACATTGGGTAATCTAAAATGGTCAAACGTTTATTTAGGATAAAAAATTGATATTATTAGTAAAATTCGAAATAACACCTTACAATTTTTCATCGGCAAATTTTTCTTCAAATTTCAATATCTTAAAATAACATTCTAAATATTTTGCCAAACTTATCAATAGTTTGTCACATTCTGGGGATCTAATTTAGAGAAAAACTAGTTATCAAATAACCAATAAAAAATATACTTGATCATTTTAGCAAAGTGTTGGGAATATTGGAAATGCTTTCCTGAAGCTTTTAATCTTGTCAAAGCAGCAGCTGTCCTTCCACCAGAAAAACTTGATACTTACATTTTATATCCTTTATAGTTATTGTACGAATTTCATCAACAATTTTCATATGACTCGTTTTGTAAAGATTTCTGGTCATCACCGTAAAAATTTATCCAACATTTTACTTTTGTGAATAAATAGACTTTTGTGATTTTTGGTCAGTAAATTTGATGAACACAAGTTCATTTTTATCATCGATCCACTCAAATCTTCCTGTTGTCGGCTTTAAAAACCAAAATTATCATATAATTAGATTAAACACACCAAACTTAGTTCACTTTGAAGAGGATTTGCATTGTTCATTGTGTATTTCAATGGTATCTGAAAAAATAGAGATAAAGCGTTTGGTGCATACAAGCCAATACTGCTAGCTTATAACAAAATAGCTGTGTATCACTTTCTAGTTTTCTGTGATCCTTCAGCTTGACATCAGTGTATGATATAAACTTCCCTTTTCCACCTATCGCAATAAACATAAAATTATTCATAAGTTAAAGCGGAAAAAGCTACTAACCCATAATGTATCAAAAAATATTTTTGTACGATGGTTTTGACTTATTTTACGTAGACATCCACTACTAATGACTTGCCAGAACTTTTTTATCTACAAAACGATTGATCTTACTTTACTTGAGTCGCCTGACCTAAAGTCTGATATTTTGAGTTCATATAAAACATTAATATCAATTTTATTAGATTATGTACAAAATAATTATCATAAGAACTTGTTTTACCCTAGGATAGTATTTAAGACGGATCATCACACATTTAAAAAATGAACATTACTCCTATCTATATCCCAGGAGAATGAGCTGTGAATTTTAAATAACCGGACTTCTTGTTATGGCTGACTGAACTGAATGCCATTATTGTAGTTCTGCACACCTGTACTACTGATTTTTCACCCCTATTGTCATCACAGATCCGCATATCCGTTATTATTGTGAATTTCACGTAGATATGTTTATTGTATTTTAGTCAAGCAATTCAGATTGACACTTGGTTATGTAATATATATATATGGTAATGCTTATTCATGCCGTCAGATTTTCTTTTTGAACCATAACACTTCTGCATATTAATACAAATAGGTTTTGACTGTTGTAACTAATTTAAATGTTGGTAAAATAATGATCTCAAAACATTTGTCTGTTAGAATATTTCAGTGTATTCTGCACATGGGATTTTAAATTACTGGAGCAGTTGAAATATACTTCGAATGTTAATAACTACAGTTACTTTCAATTAAAATTATGGTTTATTGTACGCATATATGTTTGTTCTGTGTTTTCCTTCACGTAAAATATTCAAATCAAATGTATTTTATGGGCCCCTATTTAAATCTGAGAAGAATTAAAAACAGCATAATTTACTATTTCAAGGCAGTTAAACTTCATGCTGATAAAATCAGGAAAAGACAAAAATAAAACATCTCCAGTTGAAAGCAGTCAATAAGTCTTGTTTGTTATTCACTATGAACCAATAAACTTTTACTTTATCTAGGTATATCAATGACGTTTGGCTCCTGCTAAGTAACATTATTGTCAGAGAATGTACGTTCACTCAGGTGATTAAATAAGATAGTTGTCTTGATTTGCTCACAAAACAATTACAAAGCTTACTCGAGTGAGTTGAGGCTCAATTCATCGACTCTTTCAAAAGAAAGTTAAATCTACTGAGAGACCATCATTGTCAGGAATGACACAGGCCATCAAGCCTCCTGTCTTTTCCAAACTGAAACTGAGTCAATATAAAATTAACTGATGTCTGTAAATTTTGTTTAATACCTCGCTCAGTGTGTATGTACAATGAAGAAGAAGTATGTAAGAAGCCTAAACCCTGATAAGCAACATAGAAAACCTTAATTCCTACTTGATCATAACTCCACCTGTAGCTCTTCTGAAGTTACTGCCGGTTCCAGGCCCGGGTGAAGGAGGAAGGTTGGGCATGGAGTCGTAAACCCCATCCCGTGGAAAAAAATCTTGCTAAAGAAACACCAACCAGATTAAACAAATTAAACCATTTAAACTCTGTCCTGGGAGTTGAAAGAAGAACTATGACGCTCCACAATGAAAGCCGCGATTCTTCGGAAGTCACGAGACCGATGTCCCTTCTAACAACCAGAGCAACAATTAATATAAGTACGTGGAATATCCGGTCAATGCGAGACACTGAGAGGACTGATCAAATAGCTATGGAAATGAGAAGATACATCTCGACGGTTCCTGAAGTCAGTGAAAACCATCGGACTCAAGTTGAACAGAAAAGGTTGGGTACGGGAGAGATGCTGCTGTACTCTCGTCACGATAATGAACATGCTCCGCACACAGGGAGTTGCCCTAACGCTCTCCAAAGTAGCACGAAATGCACTTTTAGGATGGGAATCTCACGGATCCAGAATCATCAAAGCATCATTCAAAACAAAGAAGGAGGGGATCTTAATGAATATTATCCAATGTTATGCACCCACCAATGATAGCAATGACGACATTAAAGATCAATTCTACGAGCGGGTGCAGTCAATCATAGAGAAATGCCCAAGAAAGGACCTCACCATTCTGATGGGAGATCTAAATCCTACAGTCGGAATAGACAACACCGGATATGAAGATATCATGAGACGACATGAACTGGAAGAGAAGAACGAAAATGGGAAAAGATTTGCAAATCTGTGTATACTCAACAAATTGGTCATAGGTGGCACAATATTTCCACACAAACGTATACACAAAGCTACATGGATCTCACTGGACTACACCTCAAAGAACCAGATAGATCATATCTGCATCAATAAAACGTTCCGAAGGACAATGGAAGATGTGGGAACCGGGAGAGGAGCTGATATAGCTTAAGAGCACCACCTTGTTGTAACCAATTTAAAACTGAAGCTGAAGAAGAACTAGACAACACTACAAAGGTTCAATACAGCCTTCCTTTGAGATACTAACAAAATCAACGAATTCAAGATAGCTCTCAACAACAGGTTCTAAGCCTTACAGGATCTACTGAAGGAAGAAGAAACTACTATGGAGGGCGACTGGAAAGGTATCAAAGAAGCATTAACTTCAACATTTCAGGCGGTTCTGGGCCTGAAAAAGCATCATCATAAGGAATGGATCTCTATAGAAACACTGGACAGGGTCAAGGAAGTAAGAACAAGAAGACAGCAAATATCAACAGCCGAACACGAGCAGAGAAAGACAAGTTACAAGCCGAATGCACAGAAGCAAACAAGCAAATGAAGAAGAGTATGTGAGCCGACAAGAAGGAATACAGAGAGGAATTAACTACGACGGTTGGAAAAGCTGCAAGAGAAGAAAATATGAAACAGCTTTATGATATAACGAAGAAACTGGTAGGGCGATATGAAAAACTAGAGAAACCGGCCGAAAACAAAGAACGTAAGTCAGTCATCGAGACTCAAGAACAGAAAAACAGATGGATAGGATACTTCGAGAAACTCTTGAATAGACCACCTCATTTGAATCCACTGAAAGGCATTTGACAGTATTGACAGGAAAACATTATGGAAACTACTTCGACACTATGAAGTTCCTGAGAAGATTGTCAACATTGTACGGAACTCATACGATGGACTATAATGCAAAGTCGTGCATGGAAGACAGCTAACAGATGCATTCCAAGTAAGGAAAGGAATCAGACAAGGCTGCCTACTCTCTCCCTTTCTCTTTCTTCTGGTGGTCGACTGGGCTATGAAGACCTCGACATCTAAAAGAAAGCGCGGACTACAACCAACAGCTTGCATGAAACTAGACGATTCGGACTTTGCAGATGACCTGGCCGTCCTATCCAATACACACAAAGAAATACAGATGAAGACAATTAGTGTAGCAGCAGTCCCTACATTAGTAGACCTCAACAAACAAAGGAAAAAGCAAACTCCTCGAACAACATAGAAAACGCCAACCAACCCAACCACCCTTGGTAGAAGAACTCTGGAAGAGGCGGAAACTTACACGTATCTGGTAACGTCATCGATGAACGTGGAGGATCAGATGCAGATGTAGAGGCGAGGATTGGTAAAGCAAGGACCAAATTCCTGCCGCTGAAGAACACATGGAACTTAGAACAACAACAATATCAAAGTAAGAATCTTCAATGTGAACGTCAAAACAGTCTTACTGTATGTAACGAAACGTGAAGAACTACCGCAACCACGATCAAGCATGTACAAGTTTTATAAACAGTTGTCTGCACAAGATACTGTGGGATAAAACAAACCAACTTCCAGCTGACGAGGAAATTAGGAAAAGACGCTGGAAGTGGATGGGACATACATTGAGAAAATCACCTGACTGCGTCATGAGGCAAGCGCTAACTTGGAATCCTGAAGGAAAATGGAGAAGCGGAAAGCCAAAGAACATACTGCGTCGGGAAGTGTAAGCATAAATCGAAAGGATGGACAGCAACTGTAAACAAGTGGAAAGAATCCTCCAGGACAATGTTAGATAGAGAGTGCTGGTGGGCGGCCTATTCTCCACCACGAGGGATAACAGGCGTGAAGAAAAGTAAAGTAAGTAACCAAAGTTTAGGTTATGCTTCTTCATCCACTTGGTGTAGGTCGTCCTATAGATGTAACGCGTTCAATCATTCATAATTACAATATATACTGACGATTAGCTACTTTAGCTATTCTCCAAATAAGACTGAAGGCTATGATTTTTTGGTTACTTTTTCTCAGATTAGACAAAATTAAAAAATTCTTCGACGGAGAAGATACTGTCTGTGCGTGACGGCACCTGACGAATCCTCGAAATTGAGAAATGATCTCAATTCTTCAATAAGGTCAAAGAACCAAAATTACGTAGTCGTTATCTCCTTTGCGCGTGCGCCAAGCAAAGCTGACTTTACGGAGAATGCCATCTCCTGAAATCACCATATCAGGTTGAGATAACCTCTCCCGTTAACAATTATCGCACTCGGTGTCAGCAGCTAACTTACCGCAAAATACTAACCAGTGATCTTTAGGGGTTTGCAAATATCGCTGAGTGTCGTAAAAATTCATGAAGATTGATAAACTATTAGGTGTGTACTTTTAGTGCTTTGGACAGAAGTACATAAACAGGTGAGTTCCCTCTCCTATTCCGGACTATATGCCTTTAAGTATTAGAAACATGTCAGGTACAGACGGCGTCTCGCATGTGGCTTGAGATGCCCACGTTTCAAATTTTTCTTTCATATGGGTATTATGTACACTGCTTGGCTCATGCAGGTCATACAATATGTTCTGTAAACACGTAAGCCTGATTCCTTCGATATGAAGGGCTTATGCGTTCTTGCCTTGTGCTCTCCAATTGGCCATGGAAGGAAAAGAGACCTACCTACTCATATATTTACTGATGCTTGACAGTCCATAAATAGAATTGTCTACCCGAGTCGCTTTCGGTCTTGATTCTGGCATTATTTGGCTTGTCCAAATGAATGTCAGTCAGTCAGCTACAACTTAGGACCAGGCACATATGTGCATCGGTCCAGGTTGCCATACCGCATCAGCACAACAAGATGAACACCGGATTCATAGCATGTAAGAGAAAGATTGCTTATAGAGATATAGTACAAGAAGAAAAAATTGGTTCGTAGAAAGAAAGATATGAAGTGATTTTAATCTCTTAGTTTAAGGGAAGACAGGGAGTGTATACACCGACGCCATTGTGATCGATTCTGAGCCAAATGAATGTAGATACCGATTGATAACCAATGTCTGTTGGCACAAGATACATCGGAATCAAATGCGGTGATCTGAAGAGGAGAGGAAACCACCTTCGGTATTTTTTGCCTGGTATATCTATCCTTCTTGGTCAACCGTACCACATGTACGATCAAGATGTTATAATGCTTCAGCGAAGGCTTTACGAACTTCTGCTATTTAATGTCATAGGTTGCATAATCATTGTCTGTGTTTTCTGGGGTACTTTGCACAATAATTCTCCTTTATTCAATATCAGTCAACTTGAGTTTTCGTCCGACCTGCCTTAGGACATAGTACACACGTACTCGTATGACGCGACTCATGGCAAGGATCACTCAAAATGGCATAAATAGGGCCCATCAAAGTCCTCCATTGCAAACGCGAGACAGATTATATTAGAGGAAGCATGAATATTGTAGAAGATTTGGTCGAGAAACAAAATTAGCTTGACAACTGGCTTGTAGTAACATCCAGAAAATTCATGGAACAGAGTGATGCCTGCACACCTGGCATCAGGTCAGACTGCAGGGATGAAAAGAGTTTAGGAAACAAAATCTCACGGCTTGTTGATATGGATCTCGCTGAGAGCTCAGTCATTTCTTCATAAGTTAAGAGAGTCCTTCGGAAGGGAGTCAAAGCGGGCATCTGAACACAGCCACATTATGGCCTTAATTAATAAGCTACTTAAAGAGACAGTCGCAGGAGTTTATATTCATAAGCTTTATAGAATAGCACAAAAAGTGGGTTCAAGAAGCACGCAAACAAACCGAGTCATGGACGGAACTCCTCTTTTTGCTGAGAAAAGGAACCTAATATCGGAAAATTGACGCGAACTGGCTGAATCCGGAATATATGTTCGTAAGGATCTCAGCCTGGTTAATCATATTAGTAGACTATCAGAAAAATCATAAACATATGAGCGCCGCCGGAACAGTTAAAAACCTCATACTTAAGGGTTTTCACGCAAAGCGAACCTAAACTACTCAGTGGAACGAAGGCGTTTGTCACCATAATAAAGGTATGTCATGCAAATGCTAAATATGATGGAGGAGCTCAAATACGTGGTGAGTACAGAAAATCCTAGTGTTATTTCTGTCTCAGAAACATGGGTAGCGTCAGATAAGTATGATAGTAGATATTAATCGCCTGGTTTCTTACTTTGTAGGGCTGACAGAATAAACTGTAGGGTTTCTGAGATTATCCTGTTCATGAAAAGCGTCCTAACCATACGAGCTACAAAGATGGTGGCACACGACTCCAGGACATGTGAACTGGTGCTTTGCCTTCAAAAATATAAAGGGCAAGATGTTCAATCGGTTGTAGTATACCTCAGCCATGAATGATCATGTGGTCATCACGTCCAAGTTCATGGTTGATCTGGTCTGTCAAGCTGTTGCGCCAGCCCATTCTAGCTCATGGAAAGCAAACATAAAGACGACTATCTCTGCAGCCTCGACTGAAAGCTTAAAAATTAACTCCGGTGCATCAGTAGACGAGGCATGAACTCAATTCCGGCAGTCATATAATCAAGTAGCTCAACTATTTACATACCGGACAGTTCCAAAGAAGAAAAAACACAGGCATTACTGGATAAACCAGAAGATGCGACATCCACCAAAACAAAGGAAGTGTTGGGTAGTCATCAGCCTTTAAACAACAAATAGAATTGGATGCTACAGGTAATTGCGAAGTTAGTATGTAATTAGAATTCGGGTATCTCAGAGAAAATATGAGAACCAGTTAACGCAATATGTAATCAATCATCCCAAGAGACTGGTCTCGTACATAAATTACAAAATGAAGGTGCATCATTAAACTTTCAATCCAACTACCGAATGGAATGCATCTTAGGTTACAGAGGAAAACAATGACAAGGCAGAGGACATTGCCAACTACTTTGAGATAGTTTTCACTCAGGAGGCTCCTTTAGACAAAGGACTAGACTCAAATAAAAGATGACGAAATTGGTTGCTTACTGTGAATTTTGATCTGGACGGAGTACTAAAGGCCCTGAGCACCTTATACACAGAAAGCTCAACAAGACCAGATGGACCACATGTTAGAATTCTAAAGTCAATTATACCATACATAGTCACTCCATTGGCTACTATATTAAATCTGCAAGTTAGCCAAGGTGAGTTACCCACGGACTGGAATGATACAATCGTCAATCCAATACATAAGACAGGAACAAGACAACTTCCATCAAACTTGTTGAATAACGTATACCGTGGTTTCTGAGAAGGATTATCTTACACAACATTCTCATAGCAAGGGTGACTCGACATAGTGGAAAACCAGTGGATGTTGCCTATATAGACTTCAACATGAAGTAGACTACTCTTGAAGCTAGAAAATATGAGAAATTTCGGACTTCGCCTGGAGTGGATCAAGGATTTTGTGATAGGTCGCAGATATAAAGAATGAATAAATTACAAATGCTCCTCCTGGAAACCAGTACGTAGTGGAGTACCGCAAGAATTTGTCGTAGGTATTTTACATGTTATATTGTATATACAGTTAGGCCTCCAATCCTACTACACGCTGATGATGTAAAAATCTGGCGTGAAATAGCAGGAAACACAGATGCGCATGTTTTTGAGGCAGACTTGAATGTTCTAATTGACTAATCTAAGAAATGGCTGATGCTTGTCAACGTGGCTAGGTGTGTCTACATGTTTATTTGTGGATACAACGATATATATGTACAGTGCAGGAGAAAAGTCAGTGCCTATAGTTCAGTCTGACAAGGATCTTGAGGTGAAGGCAAGCCGCAATCTGAAAAGCACAGACAACCATCATCAGGTCACGGCTAGAAAGTTTAGAACATAACGGCCTTAAAGACGGACATTTATTAGGTTAGTTCTTAATATGTTCACGACAGTAAACACAAAACTAGTGAGATCCGGGCTGCACGTCTTCGTTCAAAAGGAGATTCGGATATGTTGGAAAAATTAAAAAAGAGGCTACTGGTGCAATTACAGAACTCAGGGATGCAGCCGTAAATAAATCCCCAAAACAAATAGCTCTGTAAGTCTTCGACATTGGATGCTGACCAAATTAGTTTTGGTGTACTCACCTAGCTGAAGGCGTTCGGTCATGCATCCACACCAGATCACGAGTGGGAACGCCGTGCTCAACATCCCCTACAATCTCTAGCCAGCCTAAATAAGCCGATCCGCGATATATTGATAGCCTATTAAATATATCTTCAGACTTCCTCCCTCTTACCTTTTGATTTCACTTGTTGGGTACGCTTCATATTAGGTGTTACTGGTTAAAGTGTTGTCAAACTCTGAATACGTGTGACATTTTCAAGGGTTTATTGTACAAAAGGTGGCTTGAAAAGCTAGACCTCTTTAATTTGTCTTATCGCAGATTAAGATTTGATCTGATTTTGATGTAGAGAAAACTAGGAACTGACTTTGGATACGATATATTCTCTCTTTTTCTTCCCAATAGATCGGAACATCTCAGAGGATTTAACAAGCGAGCAGAGAAGCCAAGAGGGAACAAAATACCCGTGGCATACATGTTTTCACACCAAGCCATCGATTCTCGGAACCTGTTATCCGAAGCGCTGGTGTCCACACGCTCAAGTGACTGGTTTAAGAAAAGACCAGACACTCGGTGAAGCTGACTAGAAAAAAATTAACATAGGTCCTCTCATCTTACTACACAAATCCGAGTCTAAAAACCATGTACTCTGCTTGGCAAAAGCACTGTTATCGTCTTATGAGTAACTCGCTTTGTAGTTCTTAACAGTTTTGTTATTGACATACTCATTGCGTGTTGGTGTCTGATTTCGAGAGAAAAACAGATCATACAGCCCGTTTCCTTCAACTGTTCGGCCATTTCATATGGTATAAACCACTAAGATCAAATTGAGTAGCTCTACTCTAACTCCATCTTCGCTCTACTTTTTGTTTCGAGTAATTGTTTACTAGATTGATGTTGTAAATTTACGTGAAGGTAAGGAAAGATATAGAAAAATATTTTGAGGCAATACATGAAATGATGCCGTAAGTTTTATTGGTGTATTCATTTTCTCGAAAAATGTCAAATAATAATTTTACGATATACATTAAAATAAAATACTAAACTCACGGGCTCAGATTTGAAAACGTGCCAGTTTTGCTACCATAGCAACACTACTGACATCGTACTCAAATAGAAGCAGCCTGGAAAAAACTTGCCATTATTTACATTCAATTTTAATCAAACATACAATCAGTAACAGAACATTTGTTTGAATCATTTGAACATGCTTCTCGTTCCAGCCGTACATGTTTTACTTAATAAGTGTGGGCAATACTTAGTGTTTTCCTTTTTTGTTCTTGAAGTTCTTTTGTATGTATACAAATCTTATTACCTTCATTTCGGATCAAGTGCCTGTGTAGAGGAGTTGTTTATATTGTTTGGTTGGTTGGTCTCAGAAATCGCTAAACATTTTTTCGGTTCTTTAATATTTGACCCTAACGGTATTTCCAAACCGGCGTATATTTCCAGCCTTGTGTTTTACATTCCTTCGGCTTTAGGTGGCACATTCTTTTTGTTCTGGCAGTCGTTTGTTACACAAATAGAAGTCGTCACCTGTTCTACTCTCTTGTGTTTCAACTGTCTTCAGTTCATTACATCCATAGTGGTTATAATCCCTAACAGAAAAAACCCAAACTGAAATATCTGAGGTAGACCTTTGCTAGCTACCTAACCGCATGTCATCTCACTGTGACTCTTCATTCCCCGCTCTTGATTGTAATTATTTTTCTTCGTATAACCTTATTGTTGCTTGTGTTGGTGTCGGCAATGTAGCCCAACTTGCTTGTGATCTCTTAATCTATAACTTAGGTTGTGATGTTATTAGTAGTTTAAATTTTGAGTACTGCCCATCCGTAGTCGGTATCAATCCTTACCGATTGCCTGGAGATGTTCATGATTTGATGACAACTTCACAGGTATATATATATATATATTTTTTTTCTGAGTGTTATATGATATATACAAGTTTTACGGTAATCTGTATGTACTAAATTCATAGTCGATCTGACTTCAACTATTCTATGTCATAATGAACACAGTTTATAAAATTTCTAGCTGACTAAGCAGCTCAAACCTTGAACTGTTAGGAGGAATCAGTGAATAATTTGTCCTTCAAGATCTGCGTCTGGGTACTCAAAGATCATTCTTGATCATGGAAAGGTATAACTTTATGTTCCTTGTACAACTGAAGTGCAAAGCAAGTTAGTTAATAATAGCCAGACTGATCACCCTCATGACCTACTCAGCTCATGTGAACCTCGAGCCTCTCTTCGAAGGACTCTGTGGAAGGTGTCCTTAACATTGCATCTGATTAATATCTCCACAATCTACTGATTTTAGCTACAAAAATATCCGTACAGGTCTTCTGTGTCAACTTGTATTTCCAAAATGAAAACACTTTTAAGTTTAGTATTTAAACTTCGTAGTGATCTGTTATGTTTAGAGGGATCATGAGCGACATGAATCGTAGTGATTATTCCCCCTGAATCCTTCTGTACTGCATAGACTGCAAACTTAAAGCTTCCATGCCAGCTAAGTGCAGTTCATTTTTTTGGTTCGCATACATTTTTGATTACCCTTTTTGAGCACATTACAAGAGGATGATAAGTTAATGATAAATAATCCAAGAACCGTTTTGCAAATGAGGTCCTAAATAAACAATAAGAAAGGTTTTAAATTATCCCGAAGTTAGTCTATAAAGAAAATCCAAGATAGTATTCAATTTTGCTGCAGAATCCCAATGGGAAGAAGCAGGTATTTTTGAAGTAAAAAGTGTGGTACTAGAATCATCCCGAAAGTACATGACCGATACAGTTCCACTACTATTCACCAGTATCACCCTTCATTTGCTGCTACTGAAAGGACAGTTTCTATTGGTATAGTCACATAACATATTTAAGTTTTTGTAATGAAAAAAAATATCATTTAGATCTAGCGTCTCTCTCAAGTTCTAAAATCATCTCCATATAATAGATTCTAAGGGCCTGTAGTGATAGGCAAATTTTTAAACAATCGGAGCATAATCCTTAGGATTTCACTCTGTAGTACTTCACTCGTCATTGAAAACTAGTTAGATATGGCAAAGCAAACTGTGACGGCTAACGATCTCCCCTATAAGTGATCTGAAAGTCACTAAGCACCCGATAGTTGCTGCTAATCCCGGTTTCAGGTGAGCGATTCAATAATTAACTTTATTGAATATCTCCATAAAAATTAATAAGGTCATGTGCATAGGTTGGATGTACTCCAATCAGATGGTACATCTATTCTAAACAGTTAACAAGCCTGTATCACGTGATCTATGTAAGAGGATTCCATGTTGTGATTAAAAAACTTTACAGTTATTGAGTAGATAATTGTTTATGGGTTCGTGAATTCTTCCATGACTTACTCCGAAAGGCTAAGAAATTAGTTCACAATTGGAAGTTCCTATCTTGCTGTTTACGTCACAGTCAAATAAGAATACTAGTTCTCATTCAATCGCTTTATTAGTATCACCTGCTTTTTGTCAATTATTATTCCGAAATAAACTATATTTAAGGTGTTCAGTTAATAAGGTTGGTCACTACTTTTGTAATGGACGGCCTATATAGACGATACACACAACACCCCACGTGTGTTGTTGACTTCTTAATGATCACAGTTTCACCTTAGTTTGTTTAACAATATAAAGCATCCTATCCCAAACTTTTGGGAATTTCACATCCTGTTTTAATCTATCCCATGTTACAAAAACTAATATGACAGATCCATAATTAATTAATTTCAAAGTTTTTGAGACATATTACTAATGCGTATATCCTCATTTTTCCAAGATATGGTTTTTCTTAAGATTTTATATGTTCGTACCCCTTTAGAAATGTTCTAAATTATTTTCAAAGCGAAAAGTGTAATCTTTGAAGAATGAGAACTTTCACCATTAAATAATCTATGGCTACTCCACTAGTGCATCCATTTCGTTTTTACATATCGAGACTTTTCTAGGTCGTGAAATTCATCACACCAATGTTATATTTTCGCGGAAAACGACGACTCATGGGTCGTACATCAATTTAGGCCCCCGCTCATTTGTACCCTTACCATAGCAAGGATCAGTAAAGAATTCTTCAATTTACGTAAACACCTTAAAACTCTGCGTTTGCGATTCCTTAATCTGGAAAGTTTACCACAAATGAAAACTATTTGTTCTTCTCTTTTGAAGATTTATGCTAATCCCGAACTTCAGCTAGCTGTGTTACAAATTCGAGCCCCTCCCTTCACCGGTTCCAAACGAAAGCATGTCAAGGAGCTTGTGACCTTCCTGAAATCTATGAAGTTTAAAACTGTGGTTTTACTTTCAAGTAGCTTTGCGACTATTCTTAAAGTAAGTTGACTATTTTCTTTCTAAATCCTATCAATTACTGAACATTCTTGACAGCTGGTGTTTACTCGTATTTAAAAACGTAAGCTAGAAACTTATTAAGGTAGCGTGATATGGTTTTCCTCGTGTTTTCGAGTAAATGACTAGTATATTAAACCAACTGTTATGTGCGTTGACCCCAACAGTTTTTATTTGAGCATTTCAATCACACACTAGCCCCGTACACGTAGTCAGGCATTTGCAACATGAAGCTTAATACATCCCAAAAATTGACGCTATCCCTGAAGACAGTTTTTATGAGTACATGCTAAGCTACACTATGATATCTGCAAACTTCAGGTTAATAAGGGTTCTCTAAATCTAGTGAATTGCCATACATTCAAAGGAAGAAAGTGCTGTTTCTGAGAACATTTTGAGCACAAAATCTGATAATATTACCGAACATAAACATCGCTGATAGTTACTTAGTACAATCATTTCATGTGAACGTTCGTTGTAACTTCCAATTCGAATAATGGTATTCACATAAAGGGCTTTTGATAACTTATAGTGTTCTTTTTATGCTCCTTTCAACAACAGTCTCTATTACAACCTCAGCCTGCAGGTTCAAGTGTCATTTTTACACTTATGATTACAATTAGATGTCGATATTCCTTTCTACACACCACAACTTGAGGGGAAAACAGCCAGTATGATACATCAATTTTAAAACATGCTTGGTCTTCCCGGTTTCCTTTTCACAAATTCTTAAGCGTGACAGCAGTAAAAGTCGACATATGGTGGTTCTTCAATCGAAGAGTAAATTATCTGGGTTTTCCACATCAATGTGTGTCTACGATATCAACTGCTACATTGAGCGTACAGTCACAACTAAGTCGAGTCGGTGAACACCTTTCGGGGTTAATTAAAGAGTTTGATCAAGATAACGTACATCTTCCTGTTACAGTAGGTCGATAGCAGTCATTTAGTAGATAAAAACAAATTATTTAAAGTAGTTAATCGTATATCCACTACCTTTCCCTATTAGATTTGATCTTGTCTCTTACACTTCACAGAAGCTACGGGGATCCAAATTAACAACCTGTGTATTTATGAAGACTTTTCCATGCCCTTATCTCTTCCCTCATCTTTTAAATAAACACTTCATTGTCTAATTATCTAAACTACGTAATTTTATAGTTAGTAGTAAATACTATTTTAATATCATTGACCTACTTCCTACTATAGAACACTGACTGAACCTTTTCCTATTCGTATCACAACTAGTACACCAGTTATCACAAACAATCTGTACTTTTTACCAACTGTTTATTTTTGTAATCCATTCCAATGTTATCGCTGACTCATAAACTGCCTTGATTAGTTTGTGAATTTCATATGTCCATACAAATATTCTTATACGTTATATTGAAGCCCGACAATTAAAAGGAATATTGCTCGCTTATATACATTCTAATTCGCAATACAATAATTTCTACTATATTTTTAGTCACACAAAATTAAGCAACAGACTGTGATGAATGGGATAAGAAGGGCACACATATATACTATACACTCATATAAAAGCAGTCAAGATTGACAAGCGAATAACTATCTGGGTCAAAATGTGACCCAAGTAGAATGAGTAGATTGGCCTGTCCTAAAGCTAGAATAAGGTATATGGGCTTAAAATAATAACCGGCTCAACGATTTTAATGATAAAAGTTGCTATCTTGAAGAGTTTACTTCTCTATAGTTATCTAATAACAACACGCTCAACCAAAATAATTAATAAACGGTGGGCACCATCCTTCCAGAAACTGAGACTACTCCATCTCAGCGCGTCTCTTCCCCTTGTTTTAGTTACTTTTAGCTTCAATAAGAATTATTTTTATAAAATGACTATCTGTAATCCTTTTTTACAACAGATTTAACACAATCACCCATAATTCTATAGTCTTGTATGCCACTCATCTATTTCACTTCTCTCGTTCGTTTTACAGGATGAGGAGCTAAACTCAGCACCACTGCAGTATGCTTTGTCGTCGTCATTCTGCGCTTCTGATCGTAAACGCTTTGATGAACTGAATTGGTATCCCCTTAAGACGTACAGTGACCACCTAGATTGTCAATTATCTGTTGTTTATTATTTACCTGGGTGTGGAATTGCAAGTTATTTATTTGAAGAATTACTCAAACATGAAGAGATATCTGCTTGTCTGTTAAATCTTTTTACATCTGAAGGCGATAACAGTGGCGATGCACTTTATGTTGTGCAGCATTTGAATAAGTGGTTACAATTCAAAGCACAACACGGAGTTAAAGACACAAGTTTTCAATGGTCTCTCCCCCCCTCTTGGAGCTATTTGTTTGGAACTGATCCTGTTGATGAATTGTATTAGACTTTTATTAAATATTTACAAAAGATTAGTTTTCTGGCATTTCAGGTTTTCTGACGAATAAAACTTTTCGCTAGGAATATTTATGAATTCATGAGTTTATAGATTTAAGTTGTTCATCAAATGAAAAAGCTAAGCAACGACGGTAAATATGCTAAGAATTCGGATCTATAATTTCGAAGTTCAGAATTATTATGAAGGCCTAATTTCATTCACTAACACTCAGTATACAGGTTTATTTGTATTTAGTAACAAGTACAACTTGTGTGTGACTTTTATAATCAGTTTTACCTTCTCAATTACTTAGAAAATTTATTGTACATAACCTTAGTTTTCCTGCAGCAGGATAATTCGGAAAACATGGTGATATTGTTATTTAATTTTGTAACGTTCATAGATTATAGGCATCAACGAGTGACGTGTTCGTTTGAATAACCAGAGAGAAGTCTATTTTGCGGTTCCACTAATTTAAGCATTCTTGAATCAGAGTATCATTATCTATCAAGAAAATACATGTTAAAAATTCCCATTTTGCCACTTGGTAAATAAAGAAGAAACGAATTGAGCGAAATTTCTTTTTAATTAGTTTTTCATCATGGCTCTACACTAATATATATATGATTTACAATAATGATATATTCAAAGTAATTATTAAATCAAGAAGTTGCTACGTTTCGTAATATATGAAAAGAGAAGGAACAGAATTTTATAATGGATGGTCAATAAAATAGTAGTTACGTAAGAATCAAAAGATGAATGTTGAGGAAATATAAAGTTCGAAAATAACAAAAACAAGATTTTCCAGTTTTTCAAAGGGAATATCCGCTTAAAAGCACAATTAGCCATTGACCAATTTATTATCGCTATATAGACGATACTTTCATAGTATTATAAAAAGAACATGATAAGGACAATCTACTTAATATATTTAATAACGTCCATCAATCATTTAATTTTACATGAGAAGATGAACAGAACAATAGCATATCATGTTCAACTAACTGGAAGAGCAGACGGAACTTTAAGATGAGGGGTATACAGAAAGTCTGCAACAGGACAATACTTTCATTTCTACAGTGCAGTTCTATCAGATACAAAAGGAACTTAATAAAGATCATGACTCATCGTGCCAGAATGATCTGCTCGGAAGACATCATTGAAGATGAATTGGTTAATATTCGAAACTTACTTAGTACGAATGGGTACCCTAGGAAATCCATCGACAAACACATGATGGAGATGAAAACAAGAACAAAGATGCCTACCGTCCCTAAGAAAGTACTGTTCATAAATGACACCACTAAAGAAATCGTGACTCAGAAACTAAGAAGAGCTGTACAAAAAACACTTAATGCAGCCAGATTAAATGTTATCTTCTACAACCACCTCAAAATAAGAACGGCCAATAAAGACAGACTGCCTGAATTCGCCAAATCCATGTGCATCTATCGGTTCAACTGCTCCTATGGAGCCAGTTATATAGGGCGTACAATTCGGCAAGTTCGTTATCGTATTACAGAACGTCATCCGCCGTGATTAAACAAATGAAAGGCAAAAGTGATTCTCCCTCACTTGGTCGACACAGGTCAAGTTGAATTGAATAGAGCTTTTAAGGTTAACTACAATATCCCATCAAATTTGCTGCATGGTTTACGAGTGCGCCTTTTGCACATTGCGGAAGCCATCGCAATCCATGTTCACAAACCTGACCTTTGCATTCAAAAGAGATTTGTACAACCAATTTTGTTGCCTTGGCCATCGGTATAAGATTTCCTTCAGCAGAACTATTTTTCATAAATCTTCCACTCGTTTTTTCTCTTTAAAATTTGTTTTTGTTACTTTTGAACTTCATATTTCCTCAACATTCATCTTTTGATTCTTACGTAACTACTATTTTATTGACCATCCATTACAAAATTCTGTTCCTTCTCTTTTCATATATTACGAAACGTAGCAACTTCTTGATTTAATAATTACTTTGAATATTAATAGTCCTCTTTCTCCCAATTACTCAATGTTAATTTTAATGTCATTATGTAATTATTACATGACGTATCCACTCGATGAGTATTATATCATTATTGTAAATCATATATATATTAGTGTAGAGCCATGATGAAAAACTAATTAAAAAGAAATTTCGCTCAATTCGTTCCTTCTTTGAGTACATGTTACCGTACTATTTTTTACTCAAAATTATCGCTATAAATGATCACTTAGAATTATATGATTGTATACAGTCTAAACTTACTTAATCATTAAACACGAATATTGACCCAAGTGGGCACCAAAATAAATGTGCAACACAAATGAAAGAATGAGTTTATGAAGGAAGTATGGTCAAATAAATTGAAAGGAAACTAGAATTATATTTTAAATCATCAGCAGAGAAGGGTTGATAAGTTCGTTAAGTTTAACAATACTATCTGTATTGAAAGTCAAATGCTTTCTACAGTCTCGTTAGACAGCTCCACGTTATCCAGTTGTATCATCATTTACTATACAGATCGTTGGATTGAAATTAGAACATGCGTGCATCTCCCAGTAGATCCAAAATTTGAACTCAGGTTTTACCAGCCGATCAGTGTGAGCAGGCTTCACAGATTGATTGGCCTAGCTTTTGCATACACCTGTATATTAATGGGCTACATTCTACGACTAACTGAAATAAATTCAATAAATAAAGTTTGTTACAAGAAAGTCCAGTATTTAACCGTTATTGATTAATAACCGGATCAAATTATCCAAGTGTAAATGCAATTGGCACAATCACAGAATATTTAATAAACGATGTTTACAAGACAACATTATCCCTAAATCTCTTGTTATAAAACCTCCAGAACGGTCCTGGAGATCTATCCAGACTTCGCAACACGCGTCTCGAATATTCTTACGAGAACGCATTTACAATGCACACATTTACTAGAAAAGTATCGTGAACCAATCAAAAACCTTGATGATTTACTGAAGCTTTTAATCCCGACCGAATTACAAACCACGATATCTAACCTGTTTATAGAAAGAGAACGCCACTATTTAAATTCATCGAAACACCGACAAAATAAAAAATTCGAAAACATCAGAGAAAAGAAGAAAGATAAGAAAACATCAACAATAAAATACAATTCGAATGATCTAAGAAGAACTGTTCATAATCTCTCTAACAGAAACTTAAACAGTCACGAAATCACTCTACTAGAGAAGGGATTAAATTTCAATTTACACAGAAAACCACTTAGCACTCTTGAAATTGCTCCAATTATAGAACCAATGATCGCACAACTACCTGAAAAAGAGTCGCATTTACTACGTCAAAAGACATCCCGTATTCTGACTAAACAAAAACACATTACACCAAACATTTCAAAAGAAGAATTGAAGACTCTGCATTCACTTAAAAAAGACAAAACGATTATCATTACAAAAGCCGACAAAGGCAACACAACAGTAATCATGAATAAAAGATTATATTAATGAAGCTCTTGAACATCTCTCAACAGGACCTTATGAAAAGATCAGTCCAAAAACTTCTCTAACAATTAAGAATAAAGTCAAATTAGAAACAAATCAACTTCTGAACGAGCTAAAACCAATCATTGGGGTCCCACTTTGGTTTGCGTTGCATCCCAAATCATTTAATGTCTCACGGTTTTATGGCTTACCAAAAATTCATAAACCAGATATTCCTCTAAGACCGATAATAGACTTCACAAACACCCCAACACATACATTATCAAAATATTTAAGCAATATATTAAAACCACTACAACTCAACTTACATAATATAATTCCCGACCGAAGCTGCTACATTGACGCGGTGGTCGGGCTTGCCTATCGTGATAACCCAACCGAGCTATATTGGCTGGAACATATGTTCCTGCAGGTTCTACCATGCCAGGCAAGTCGATTGATGAACAGTAAGACTAAAAGCAGCAACTCAAGGTCTGAGGGCGAAGTCGTACTGCTGACTGTAGAGAGGTGTGACAGCAGTAAGGTATTTCCCTCGGACAACCAGCATGACAGCGATGCTGCCTTCCCACAAGGAGGGGTGGGGTTAGAAAAGGTGGACCCTAAAAATGTCACACCTCACCTCACGGATTCCTGTCTCCGGCGGTAAGGCCCTTTGAAGAACGGAGCTAACACGTCAAAAACCTTCCACAAAAAAACCGTGCGCGACCGACCTCAAGCAGTTGTTCCTTGGGCTCTGCGGTCACGCTCCCAGGTCGTCAAGACCAACACTAATCCTATTTCCTTTTCAGGTTCCTCAAGAAATACCCTTCCACGGTGTGGGCAGCCGGGAAGTGATATCAGCCCTCATACCCGAAACAGCACACGAGACCAAGTTAGTCACATTTAAATCCTTCCTACACCTCTTAATACCTCTCTTATCTCCATGACTAACCCTCCTCACGTCTCTTTATCACCTCGCACCGCTAGGGCAAACGATTCGAGTACGTGGAACGCCATTCCTGGTCTCCTGAAACCACGCTCTAAACTACACGTACGAGCTTTTAACGTACGAACACTTTGCCGAATAGGACAGCAGGCTTCCTTAGCTAAAACTTTAGAATCTCGCGCCATCGATGTGTGCTGCGTCTCCGAAACGCGCATACAGGATCCAAGTAGCGTCATTCATTTGACCTCACCATGCCAAAATAAAGAACCGACTCGATTTACGCTTCGTGTATCTGGAAGCCCTGATTGTGCTTCCCGTGGTCTCGCCGGCGTAGGTATAGCATTGAGTCCTAGGGCAGAACTAGCTCTCTTAGAGCGGATCCCAGTAGACAGTCGTTTGTGCGCTGTCCGACTGAACGGAACAGTAAGAATCCGGAAAGATAGGGACACTCGTCGTTGCCTCTTCGTCGTCTCTGCCTATTCTCCCACTGACTGCAGCTCAGATGATGTAAAAGATGAGTTTTACAAAAAGCTTTCGGACCTTCTCCGAAAAGCTAAGCGCTCGGATGTAGTAATAGTGGCCGGTGACTTTAATGCTCAAGTAGGTAAACTAAGCGATAGGGAAAGACACCTAGGTGGATCTTATG